GTTGATTATGGTATTTGATAAGCTAATCGGGTATTAATGTCAAATAAAAATTTCTAATGTAATATCCTAACAATTTTGATGTACAATAAAATATGTAAGGATATACAATGAGCAAAAGATGATATAAACAATGAGACAATGAAAAGTGCGCCAATGCCAAACACAAACAAACAATATGATCACAAAGTTCAGTCACGCTCGACCTACGTCTCCGCTCCTCACCCTCGAGGAGAATCTCCACTATCAACACAAAGAGCTACACAGTTGGTTTTCAACGCTCATCGATAAACGTTTACAACTCACACACTTGGAATCACACGGTACATTCTCCAAGTGTTGGCCTCTCATGTATCACATTCCTCAAGTGCTTGGATTTACCACCTCTCACTAGGTTTTACTACCAACACCACTTCTCTTGGAATTGACCCCGTCTCTCACCAACCACTCCTCTTGATGTCCTTATGTATTACAAAGTGATCTCAACAAATAGTCTCACAAATACAAATAACTTATTCTCTAACAAGATGAGAACTCAATTAAGCTCACTCTTAATGAATCACTCACCACAATCCAGCGTATATAATGTATAAAATTCTAAAAGCTCAATAGGTAGTGTGTGTGATCAATGAGCAATAATAAAACTAAACTCAATATAAAATCTAGCTTATTAAAGTGTTAATCAACAACAAATATATATAAAGCTAGAAATCAAGTTAAGTAAAACTTCTCTAAAAACAAGAGCGAGAGAGAATGAGATTGAAGTCCAAACACCAAAAAAATGATCTTCTCTTCTTGTGAAAACTTCTTCACATAAACAAAACTTGAAAACAATTGAAAACACCTAAACAAACTAGCCTAAAACTTGAGTTTTATTTTTCTTTAGATAATTCAGAAGTTAGAGGGCAAGGGGTATATATAGGTTCATGAAACAAAACCTAAAGATCAAGAAAATCCAAGCAAAAAGATAAAAACCCAAAAAACCAGCAAAGCTGAAAAACTAGTCGTTACTATGCCATTAGTCGACTGATGGTACTGTTTAGTCGATTGATGAGCTGATCGTTGGAGGCCGCTCATTCATCATCAGTCGACTGATGACTTGCTTCGGTCGACTGATAGTTCATCAGTCGACTGAGCAGAAACTTTTTTGCTTTTCCAGCGCGTTTCTTCGGTCGACTGATGTTCCTCATCAGTCAACTGATAACATGCACAGAGAATTGTATGAACAAAAAAATTAAACTTTGAACCCCTTTAAAAAATAACAAATAAATTCTAAAAAATGTAAAATTTGGGAAAATATTTATAAACATGAAAATGAACATGTTACAAAAGAATTTTTTAAAATATCATTTACCGTTTGTGAAAACTCATCATTTTATAAAAACTCAAAAATACATGTTTGTTTAAACACTTGATTTTGACACTATGACTTAAACCAAGTTATGAAATCTTTTTGAATTGATTTATAGACTTAATAAAAAACGTATACAAGTGAACACAATGTTTTCTCAAAAATACCTATATTTTGATAAAATCAAGAAATACGTGTGTGTATATAAGAATTGAGCTTAAACTATTAACACACAAACTACAACACCTAAACTAATATACCCAAGTTGATGATCTCTCGTTGAAGCTCGATCTTGGTAGCAGGATGGAACTTGATGTTGTGTTGACTTGAATGCATAGCTTCATTCCTGTATCATCCATCCTCCAAGATATCGCTGTTAAGCTCAATTCCATCCAACCTCCAACTGGAGGATCTTTGTGTAGAGTTTCAAACAAGCAAATACAAAACACTCGACAAACCAATGTTAGGAATTGTTTGTTAATCATCAAAACTAATTAGATAGTAGTCTCATAAACATAAGACCTAATAGTTTTATGTTTAAAATAAGTTGAATTAGAGTTAACATTAATCATGGTAAGTCTAATTTAACACGTTTTAAGTTTAATTTTATGTTAAATCTAATTTGATTCATATTAAGTCCAGTTTGATTCATGCTAAGTCTAATTTAATTCTTTTTAAGTCTAATTTAAATCATGTTATGTCTAATTTAACTTATTTTAAGTTTAAAAATAAGTTAAATTAGACTTAATATGAATCATGTTAAGTCTATTTCAACTTATTTTAAGTCTAATTTCATGTTAAGTCCAATTTGATTCATGTTAAATCTAATTTAATTCCTTTTAGGCCTAATTTTAATCCAGTTTAGTGTTAAGTCCAGTTTAGTTCATGTTAAGTCCAGTTTGAATCGTGTTAAATCTAGTTTAGTTCGTGTTAAGTCCAGTTTGATTCGTGTTAAGTCTAGTTTAAATCATTTTAAGTCTAATTTAAATCATTTTAAGTCTAATTTAAATTAGACTTAACACGAAATTAGACTTAAAATAAAATAAAATAGACTTAACATAGATTATATGTTAAGTCCAATTCGTTTTATATTAAGTCCAATTTAAATCATGTTAAGTCCAATTCGGTTCATGTTAAGTCCACTTCGGTTTATATTAAGTTCAATTTAAATCATGTTAAGCCTAATTTAATTTGTTTTAAGTCTAATTTCATGTTAAATCCAATTTAGTTCATGTTAAGTATAATTTAATTTCTTTTAAGTCTAATTTAAATCATGCCATGTCTAATTTAACTTGTTTCAAGTTTAAAAACAAGTTGAATTAGACTTAACATGAATCATATTAAGTCTAATTTATAACTTGTTTTAAGTCTAATTTCATATTAAGTCCAATTTAATTCATGTTAAGTCTAATTTGGTTTATGTTAAGTCTAATTCGGTTCATGTTAAGTCTAATTTAATTCATTTTAAGTCTAATTTATATCATGCTATGTCTAATTTAACTTATTTTAAGTCTAAAAATAAATTGAATTAGACTTAATATGAATCATGTTAAGTCTATTTCAACTTATTTTAAGTCTAATTTCATATTAAGTCTAATTTTGCTTCATGTTAAGTTCAATTTGATTCATGTTAAATCTAATTTAATTCTTTTTAAGTCTAATTTTAATCTAGTTTAGTGTTAAGTTCAATTTGATTCATGTTAAATCTAATTTAATTCTTTTTAAGTCTAATTTTAATCTAGTTTAGTGTTAAGTCCAGTTTAGTTCATGTTAAATCTAATTTAATTCTTTTTAAGTCTAATTTTAATCTAGTTTAGTGTTAAGTCCAGTTTAGTTCATGTTAAGTCCAGTTTGCTTCATGTTAAGTCTAGTTTGATTCGTGTTAAATCCAGTTTGGCTCATATTAAGTCCAGTTTGATTCGTGATAAGTCTAGTTTAAATCATTTTATGTCTACTTTAAATCATTTTAAGTCTAATTTAAATCATTTAAAGTCTAATTTAAATTAGATTTAACATGAATTAGACTTTAAATAAAATGAAATATACTTAACATGGGTTATATGTTAAGTCCAATTCGGTTCATATTAAGTCCAATTCGGTTCATATTAAGTCCAATTTAAATCATGTTAAGTCCAATTCGATTCATGTTAAGTCCAATTCGATTTATATTAAGTCCAATTTAAATTATGTTAAGTCTAATTCAACTTGTTTTATGTCTAATTTCATGTTAAATCTAATTTAGTTCATGTTAAGTCCAATTTATTTTTTTTAAGTCTAGTTTAAATCATGTTATGTCTAATTTAACTTGTTTTAAGTCTAATTTTATATTAAGTCAAATTTAATTCATGTTAAGTCCAATTTGGTTTATGTTAAGTCTAATTCGGTTCATGTTAAGTCTATATTAATTCCTTTTAAGTCTAATTTATATTATGTTATGTCTAATTCAACTTATTTTAAGTCTAAAAACAAGTTAAATTAGACTTAACATGAATCATGTTAAATCTATTTCAAATTATTTTAAGTCTTATGCCTAGTTAAATTTGATTCATGTTAAGTCTAATTTGATTCATGTTGAATCTAATTTCTGTTAGCCCTTATGTTTTGATGATGTTCTTACAACCACCATTATCAGTACTAATGGCTTATTGAGTGTAAATGTAGTAAGTTCATTTATCAAGCTCGTTAGTGTCATTAACGGAGGATGGATGGAATATACGCTACAACGAAGATATCCAAAGGAGAAGGAGGCCAAGAGATGAAGCAACGTTATTTCAAGAACGACAAATTCAACTAAAAGCTTCATCCGATTCAAGCTATATCAAAACTCAAGTATTGCTCTCTATATGAGGATATTAGCTTTCTTTTGTTTCTCTCTCTAGTGCTAGAATGTAGGCAAAGAGTTACTGATTTTACTTGAAGGTACGGTCGACCGAATTTTCAATCTTTAATCGGTCGACCGTGCCGGTCGACCGATGAGTCTCTGGATGTTTTGTCAAAACTCCTTAGCTGCTGGCGGTCGACCGATTTTTTTCGGTCGGTCGACCGAATGTATTTTTCGGTCGACCGATATTTTCTTCGGTCAACCGATTTTTGCCTCTGTTCAGCCGCGACTTTTTTAAAACGGTCGTTTGCCTCAACTGTTGTGCTTTCACTTAATAGTGTTTGACACAGTCTGAGGTAACAACCTGAAAAGTGGATTATCTTCCTAAATAGGAAGATTGGGTTTTTGTTTTTAATTGGTTTAAACTCTTTTATAAAAACCCCCCAGACTGCTTCTTCTTCCTCTG